GCCCACTACGGAAACGTAAAACTGCATAGTAAAACCACTAACATGCAATAAATGTGCTTTTAGTGTTTCGAGTCGTGTCAAGTTTTTGCTTTTTGCAATAACTAGCTGTCGCATTCTCCTTCATATGTAGACTAAGACTATATAGTTTTAATGTCCAGCTATGTATTGAAGCTTCGAATTTCATCTGAAATATTTTTCGACTATGCCCAACATGGTTTGTGCTGTGAACTGCAGATTTTATTTTAAAGTGCAAGCGTACTCTGGCAGAGGGAGTAAAAAAAAACATTGTTTTTAAACAAGGGTCGATGATGGATATTATGTGCGATTTTCTTTGGCAAGAAACGAAGCAACTATGGGATGGCCTGTTTGTTATGAAGTTGGAACTGCGCTTACCTCATTACCTGAAATGAAACTAAATCGGACATTTACACAACAACAAAAATCACAACAACAACAACAGCAAAAGACATGTATTGCGCATATAAATGTACTTATTTCCATCTACAGTGAAATGGGACAGTCAATGAGCTCACAGTTCACAAGTTAGTCATTGAAAAACACATGCTCAGTATTCATTCAATCTCTGCCAAACACGGTAAATACAAATGAGGTGAAAGAATCTTTTAAAATTAAAAAAAAAGATAATATGACAAACAGATGGGGTAAAAGAAATATGTTCGGATTTAATAAAAGAAAATATGACACAAACACAAAAAACAAAGTAATAATTAAACAAAAAAGTGAAATAGTTTCACTGCAACATCAGTAGCCCTTTGGGGGGGGGGGGGATGTGTGGGGGGGGGGGGGAGATGGTGGAATAGTTAAGGAATAACAATGTTAACATGAAGGAGCACAATGGTTAAAGTGCTGGAGAGTTAAAAAAAAGAGGGTTATTTCCGTATCCCTTACAGGACGTTGCAGAACCATTCCCAGCAGTCCCTGGCTGTTGTGTGGTTTCTCTAGGCAAATTTACGTCCAGTAGTTAGCCATTGCTTTATGGACGGTCGGCTCCCTGATACCACTGTCGAAACCAACGCAAGGCACATGGCCAGCAGCTGGGATCGAACCCTGCACCCCGGCATTACGAAGCGTTCCCATCGACTTAGCCACAGAACCGGCTATGTAAAGTACAAGTGATATTATCCGGAAAAAGATTTTACTGCAGGGATGTTTAGGCTATACATATATTTTAAAACTGGTTTTTAATTTTTATTCTGTTGAGTATTTCGGTAAAGAAAATTATATCGATACCATCCACCCACACTAGGCTACAGAGTACTTGATAATCCTTTTGTGGTGTCTCGATTTCACTGTGCGATGTGGCTATATGTTTGATTGGGGTTCCGGGTTTTGTACCTGTTTGATTCTCATCATTGAGATGTTTGTTAACCCTATACTATGGACTGCAGTCCTGGAGGGAGGTGGTCTAAATATATTTATATGTGTGTGTGTGTGTGCGTCAGAAATTATTTTTGTCATCACTAGATGTTTCCTACCAGACACCTAGGGAGGTAATTAGTTGCATATTTGGTTTACAAGACGTTGTAAACTAATCCCAGTTTGTGGTTTTATTGTGTGGTCCTACATTCGGTAGGTTGGCTCTAGTCTGTCGAAGCTCATCCTTCTTTCTTTTTTCAATTTTCTAACTTTTTGGCGTGGCAGCTTAACAGATGATCGGTATCTGAGCTAGGGCACGCTCGGTTGCTCGGTGTGCTCCTCTATTGTGGAGTCTCCAGGTATCCGCGATTCCTTCAATCCGTTTTCTTCTTAGTCATTACTTACCTGTAACTGTTTTACTTTCATGTGGTACACTCTCTTTGTTGGCTTTATTTGATTTATTCTCATTAAAAGGCTAAACTATTTTCAATAAGTGTAATTATCAATGCTGTTTAGACAGTTATTGTAATTTCTCCGACCTTTTACTCTTGCTGTCAAACACCAGCTGATTAGATCTTCTTTCTCACCTTTACACCTTTGTTCTCATCCCACTGATTTCGGCCTGCAATCGTTCATTCAAACACGGGAATTTGCGAGCGTCCTTTTCATAGGTTTTTGTCACTTGACTGACCCTTGATCCTAACTCGTCATATTGGGAACTCCTTTTGGGATTCATGGGAATTCGCTCTCATTACAATCACACGAACTCTTCTAGTTTTGTTCAGGTAGTTAGTTTTCTTTCATGTTCTCTAGTCAGTGTCTACAATTATGACACTGACAACGCAAGGTTGGCATAAAGATTGCATTTATAATTTGTCTTTTTTTTCTCTATGTGGATAGACAGATTTTTCCAAAATTGTTATCGTCTGACACGTGACATTGTTGGCTTGTTGGAGTCTTGTTTCAGTTTCTCTGAATCTTGGTAATTTAAAAGATAAAGTGGGTCATTTTCATGTGGAAACATAAGTCCAACCAGAGAGACGAATAAAAGCGAGTGATATCTGCAGCAGTGAACCTCAAGGACACGAATGCTGAAGAAGAAGAAGAAGTAGAAAAAGCAGTAGTGTGACTTTACTACTGAATCTCTTTTCAATTAGAAAAATCAGTCGACGCACATACCACTGTTTCATCCAACACAAGGGTATCTGCTGAAAATTACCTGCAACTGAATCGAAGATGCAGTGAGAATTTACATGTACTGGAAACGAAACTCATAAATGTAGTTCTTTCAAAAAAAAATATATGTTGTATTCATGTTTTAGTATCTAGCCAGGTTTTTAACTGTATTCAAACCAAACTTTAAATAGGTAATAACATGTCATGCAGTGTTTGAGACATCTGGACTGTAGAGGAGTACGAGTGGGCGTTTTTTATGACACAACGAGGTCAACGTGAACTACCTTTGAAGGATTAACCTAAGAAATATCTAATTCTTCTTCTTCTTCACTTATATTTTTACCAATTCAGGTGTCGAGGGAGATATAAGGTTCTGTCCCTTGCTCTTCTGGCCGCTTCGACCATCGTCCTATCGAAGGACTTAAGAGTGTCTTTGATGTTGTAATTACATCTAGCATTTGGTCTATTTCTTTACTCTTCGTCCCTTAACTCTTTTGGTATGTTTTGTTGTTGTTGTTGTCTTCAGGTTATAGCGTCGCGACCTGGTTGCCCGTGCTCTAAAAGTTCACATTTTACATTATTTAGGCATTTAATGGAAAGAGAGAGAGAGAAAACGAACTGGTGTACTTTGTGACAGCGGAAAAGTTGGATGAGGAAAAATGGCAAAGGAAATGAAACAAGCGGATACAGGACAGATTGGAACCGTGGCAGGGAATAAAACTGTCTCGGACAATGATAGCAAACAAAATTAATCTAAGCTAAGCTGTGCATTTTTACTGGCAAATCAGCTTTGTACAATTCAATTGCGACGATTTTTTCACGTCCTATATTAGTCATTTACGTCCTTCTTAGGACGTAATTTTTTGTTATTTGAAGCCCCACTCTGGCTTTTGCCAGGGGCCGCAATATAGGCAGGCTATCAATATGGCCAATTGTCTGAACGCGGTTTCTGGGACCTCTCCACGGTGATCCTCATCCACATGGTGGCACTTTGTGTCATCGGGTGTTTATCGCTTGTGTGATGTCCTGGTGGGGTAGAAATTCATTCATTCATTCATTCACGTCCTAATCGTTAAGCTTCCTGTTGATTGATGTGAGCCAGAAATGATTGGCCAACTCATAGGATCACCATAATCATGGATCAGTTCAAATCTCTTGTCCCGATGCATCAGTGTGGCCGAACAACGACTTGTGGTCTAGATAAGATTATATAATCATCATAACAGACTAGCCAAGACTAACTTCTGATGGACTTGAGGTAATCATAATAGGTTAACAAAGACCAATTTTTAGTGTGAATCCGATTGTCATGCTATGGTTGCAGAACCAACTTTCTTGCTGTTGAGGTTTTTCTAGGCAAACTTACGTCCATTAGTTTGCCATGGCTTTCTCTGTACCACGGTCGAAACCATCGCAAGACAAACCGTCCGCAGCAGGGATCGAACCCGGCACCCCGACATTACGAAGCAGGTTCGCAACGCTTAAGCCACAGACGCCGACTGTCATGCTGGAGTCACAAGAAAAATAACCATCGTTGCGAAAATAGTTTCTATAGAAGAATAACCAACAACTTCTATGCTACATAATAATAATATCATAGTAGACTTAAAGCAGATCCATTTATTGTGGAGATAAAGTTACAATAGTAGATTAAGAAGCATCCAATTCTTGTACATACAAAATTATCATAGTGGGCTAAGACCAACCTCTGGTATAGATGTTAGTTGCGTATCCCTTACATCACGTTGCAGAACAAGCACCAGCAGGTTTTTTCCCCTGCTGTTGTGGTTTTTCAAGGCAGTTTTTGCGCTCAATAGTTAGCCATTATACTGAAAGGTCAGCTCTCGGTACCACAGTGTCGAAACCAACACAAACCTTCAGCAGCTGTGATCGAACCAGGCACCCTGGCATTACGAAGCTTGTTCATATCACTCAGGCCACAGACGCCAACCCGGTATTGATACAGGTATTATAAGTGACTAATTGAGGTGGACTTCTGGAGTAATTAAGATTATCCTACACTACAAATGTCGATAAAATTACAAAGATAGACTGACGAGCAATGACGCATGGCGTAGAGAAATGGACTAACGAGCAACGGCTGACCTGGAAAAGTTATATAAATTGTGTATAAAGTTTACATTGACACGCAGCAGAGCACCTTATACAAAAGAATTTTTTTAACTTGTCTTTATTTGTCTGTGAAATAAAATGACACATAACATTGCTTCCAGGAACAAGAAAAGATAAGTTGTTTTGTTACGTATGAAATTGCAGCGATATCTGTTGTAATGATGTTGGGTTAACAGTTTTAAAACGAATTTGTGAAGATATTTTTAAAAGATTGAAATGAAAGTAATCAAAAACATAACAAACACTATGCAAGCTTGATGATAACAGCAAGTTTGTTTGTTTGAAGAAGATATCTAAAGAAAGGTTGCCGTTGTTTATCTCAGGTGATGGACCTGTCTCATCACTTTCTGCAGACGTCTTAGATGTTGCCTCCAACCAGGCTCTTCGACAGCAGCAGCAGCAATGTTGTTGTTGTTAATATTGTTGTTACCGTTATTATATTTACTGCTGCTGTCGTCATCCATATCTTCGTCCTCACCACTACGATCGTTGGAGTCGTCTACAAATTCATTGTTAGAATTCGCCAACCTTGCTTGACCTCTGGACGCCATCATTGACCTTGACAGAATCTGTTTAATGGCTGAAGCTATCTCTCGTCTAGTCTCAACAAAATCATCGTCGTTGCTTCCTGAATTGTTTTCCTTTTCTCCCTCATTTAAAGATGAATCAGGTAACAGTGAAATAACATTTCTGTTAAGTACATCATTCGGATACCTTGTGATTTCTTTTGTTCTCTTAACCTCCACTTCCTGTCCAGTTCCAATGTCAACGTCATATTCCTTCTTCTTGAATGGTTGCACATCATGAGAATTCATTGAACCATAGTAAATAAATTTATTCGGTGATAGACTGCTTCTGCTATGTTCACGCGGGTACTGGTCGTAGTTGTCTTGTGTATTGTAGCCTCGGAGATCGTTGGTCGGAGCTTCGGAAGATCCTGACCGTTTGCCGTTGAAATGCATGGCGTTGCAGTTACACAGAACACCACCCCGGCCATAGAGGCAACGTTTGGCGCACAGCTCATCCACGTTAAATGATTGGGCCAATGGCGTGCACGTCAGAATACACAGGAAGCAGAGAAAGTGTTTTTTTCTATAAGCCATTTCTATGAACCTTTAATTGCTAGTATATATATGCAATATATATATTCCCTATTATTTGGATTAGAAACTGCAAATGTAATGATTGTATGTAAAATATAATTAATTAGCGGAAGACAAGATTTCGTCTTTGGAAATGTTTTGCTGATCACTGAAATAAAACAAATGCTTAGTTATAAAGTTTAGTTAATCACGAGGAAGAACTAAACACTTTTCACGTAGTTTAGATGCAGTGTAGAACTAACAACTGTTTGTTTTCAAAGATCAGTTAATCACTAGAATGAAAGAACGATCCCTTTTTTACAAACATTTCAACCGTAATAAAATGTTTTCAACTTCAAATTAAAACTAACGCACAGGAGAGCAGATTTGATAAATTCCAGATCGCCTGAAGACCAACTAAATTTCAACTTGTGTAAGATATTTTCAGACAAACATTAATAAGTGTGGACAAATTTAAAACCTAATCTCGTAAACTATAGTATTTATTAGACACCTTCATCTGCCGTTTGGTTTGAGATTACTAAGACTGTGTCTAAATGTTAGCAATTTATGATAGACTTAATGGCCACAAGACTGTAAATTATTGACAATTATAAAAGGGCGGGTGTAAAAAGGTCAGTGTATTTCGGTGTATTCAGAATTGTCTATGAAAGTATAATATCAGTATTTGCGATTTTAAACACTATATTCTTCTCGAATGAAACTAAACATTTCCTAGTCTCTTTTGTAAAAACTATATGTGGTTGGTAGTTGTTCAGTAGAATATATAATAAAGTTTCTCATTCGTTTGTTATCACAGATATATATATTTTTTTTAAAAACAACCAAACAGCTAGTATGTTTTTATTTTCTAAGTGAAACACCAATGTGTGATGTTTCGATAATAGCTCCTAAATTATTTTTTTGCTTTCTTGGCCTGTAAGCTTTTATTAAAACCTAATTATTTAATTAACAAGTGTCTAATTATGTATCTATGTATCTAATCTTTGAACATATATTGATCTAGTTAGTTATGTTAAATAATTCCCGTAGATCACAGCTAAGTAGAACTGTTGCCTTGTCTGCGCAGTCACCCGTAGTGTTGCAGAAATCTGGATTAAATGTTAGTGTTCGACAACTGTAATGATGATTGCTGACTTTAACTTTCAACACCCGCAGCTTGACCGATGTCTTCAGATCCTGCAGTTTCTCCTGCTTTCCCTCTGAATGCTGACTGTATCCTGGATTTTACTCTACCAAATGTCAGCCTAATAATGTTCGTCAACTGGGACTTCACTGGAGCAGCTTGTCAAATCGCTGAAAGAAAGACATACACAAATTGATCTTAATTTATGAGCAAACAGTTTATATGTACATATATTTTTGCAATCGAGCCCATTGTACCTGAGCGATACAGTTGGTGGGAACTGATAAGGAAGTCAGCAGCAACTGGTAACCCAACATCATGAGAAGTTAAAGATAATGAGGATTTTTGGTTATAAACTATAATCAACATACACGTTTATTATAAACTATCATCCACATATGTGTTTATTATAAACTGTAATCAAAATACATGTTCATTATAAACTACCATGAAAACATATGTTTTTTTTTTTCAAACTATCGTCAACATATATGTTTATTATAAACAACCATTACATATATGTTTATTTTAAACAATCATTAACATAATTGTTTATCACAAACAATCATTAACATATATGTTTATTTTGAACTATCATCAACATATATGTTTATTATAAACTGTAATCAACATACATGTGTATTATAAACTATCATCCACATATATGTTTTTTATAAACTGTAATCAACATATTTGTTTATTGAAAACTATAAATATAATCAATATTTAGAAAAAAGCATATATATATATATATATATATATATATATATATATTGATTTTTTTTTTTTTAAAGTTTATAATAAACATTTATGTCGGTGATAGTTCACAAGAAATGTACATAGTATTTTATACATTAAACCCAAACTGTTGTTTTTTCAGGGGGTAGGCAGTACCAATACCTTTTTCGGCAATTTTTTTTAGACAATCTAGAAGAAAAAGCCCTGATTACATTCGATGTTTCAAATTGCAGTTGCTAGCAAGTGCCACATAGCTGCTGTAAATCTTGTATATGAGGATCGCGCGTTGTTTCTGGGAGACAAAGCGCTGCAAAACGATCAATTTCTCTGTTTCTCAATTGGGTTTAATTATTATACAAATGGAGCTTCGGCTTACACCTAGTTCGTTTAACAGTTATGCGTGCCCTTTTTCTCTGGAGGTTAAAGAGGTAGCTGGCATCAGCCTTTGTCGTCCAGTTTTCATGATGATGTGGTGTCAGTCCCGAAGGGACAAGACGATGAGCTGACCGCTTTGGTTTCGCTTGTAGTCGCTACATGACTAATTTTACATGTTATCACCAGGAAATTTTCGCTGACCACAGACCACAGGTTGAAAAACAGATTTGAGTGATTGCTGTATAAGTGTACACAACACAGCGGGATGAGGTCTCTGTGGGGAAGTGGTCAAAACAGTTTGCCTCACGCTCTGAAGGCCGTGGGTTCATTTCACAGCAGCGTCGTTGGTTCACGGTACAAACTTGTACGAAGATCCATGGGGATCTTCGCTGGAACTATGGAGTTTTTGCTTTTTATGACCCTCTATTCAAGTTGTTAGCCGTTCTCCGTAGAGAGACTGATGGGGAAAAAAAGAGTTCGCGATGTGGAAGGGGCGGGGAGGGGGGAGGGAGGGGCGGGGGGGGGGGAGAAGAGCTGATGATGACAACGATGATGATCATTAGATTGATGAATGGATGAATGAATGGATAAATGGTTGAATGGATTGTATGTAGGCCAGTTGTCGGTTTCAGAGTGCTAGAGAAAGAGAGAGAGAGAGAGACAGACAGACAGACAGACAGACAGACAGACAGACAGACAGACAGACAGACAGACAGACAGACAGACAGACAGACAGACAGACAGACAGACAGACAGACAGACAGACAGACAGACAGACAGACAGACAGACAGACAGACAGACAGACAGACAGACAGACAGACAGACAGACAGACAGACAGACGGACGGACGGAGGGACGGAGGGACGGACCGACCGACCGACCGACCGACCGACCGACCGACCGACCGACCGACCGACCGACCGACCGACCGACCGACCGACCGACCGACCGACCGACCGACCGACCGACCGACCGACCGACCGACCGACCGACCGACCGACCGACCGACCGACCGACCGACCGACCGACCGACCGACCGACCGACCGACCGACCGACCGACCGACCGACCCGACCGACCGACCGACCGACCGACCGACCGACGACCGACCGACCGACCGACCGACCGACCGACCGACCGACCGACCGACCGACCGACCGACCGACAGACAGACAGACAGACAGACAGACAGACAGACAGACAGACAGACAGACAGACAGACAGACAGACAGACAGACAGACAGACGGACGGACGGACGGACGGGCGGGCGGCCGGGCGGTCGGGCAGGCAGGCAGGCAGGCAGGCGGGCAGGCAGGCAGACGGGCAGGCAGACGGGCAGACGGGCAGACCAGGGCAGACCAGGGCAGACCAGGGCAGACCAGGGCAGACCAAGGCAGACCAGGGCAGACCAGGATAGACCAGACAGGCAGACCAGACAGGCAGACCAGACAGGCAGACCAGACAGGCAGACCAGACCAGACAGGCAGACCAGACCAGACAGGCAGACCAGACCAGACCAGACCAGACCAGACCAGACCAGGGCAGACCAGGGCAGACCAGACCAGACCGACAGACAGGGGATGAGTACAACAAATAACAGATAAGTAGGCATAAGAAGAGCGAAAGAGAGAGGAGAAGAGACAGTCGGACAGACTAAGAGGGGAATGAAATATGGATGCCTTGCTATACGCTGGCAGATAACATATAATTTGATAGTTGGATGAGCAGTTAGGTATTTCAACAGGTATACAGTAAACTGCCATACCACGACCGGCTCCAGGTGACGGGCCGTGCTGCTGACGTCACCGAGTGGGGCTTACAATGCTTTAAGGCAGCGGTTCCCAAACAAAAAATAAACTATTTTTGACAGGGCCGAGAGAAGACAACATAAACTTTAACCTTTAAGTATCTACATGCCTTCTTTAACAATTTCACAATTTTTTAGCCGACTATTCTTAATGATTGCCGCAGCACCCCTGGCATAAGCTCACGGCACCACAGGGTTCCTCGGTACCCAATCTGAAAACAGCTGCATTAACGCATCGTTAGCCCCACCGTGTGACGTCAGCAGCACCTCCCGGTCAGCTGGAGCCGGTCGTGGCCATAATCTACTTTAATCGAAGATTAATTTTGATAAGAATTAAACCGAATCGGTAACCATGTAAATACACAACAACTACATCTGCAATTATCAAAAGCACCACTGATGAACTTTTTTTCTGCATGATTTGAAATAAGCATTTGTCCTAGAGATAACAGGAGCATTATCGACCCGGCCAGCAGGTAATCACCCCATCAACAATTATTTCACCTAAAATACAACGATAGATCTCCCGCCCAATCTGGCAGCTGTCTCTTTCATTACAAAACAAATTTGGGCTATCTGCGCATGCGTAGCGTCATTAGCATACAAGAACTAGTACTGTACTGTATATTGGTGATACCATATATGGTATCAATATTCTAGCATCGTCATCAGGGCTTCTTAAGTTTTGATTCGTAGCTACATATTTACGTGTTCATTAGTTCATTAATTCGTTGTTCCTTTCCGATGCTTGCGCCTTCTCCTCTTTTATGTTTTTTTATTTTTTTTTTATTTTTTATTGACCGACTAACCTCATGGCACACGGGTGTAACCCATAAGTACTCCGCTCTACTTCTAACTAAAGCCTGAGTCTGAAGCACTTAGCGCAGTGCACAAACTCCATTGCACCGGCGAGGAACCTGAAATACTTTTAGGTAGATTTTTAGCTCCAAATT